ATATATATATATATATATATATATATATATATATATATAGTTTGGCATGCGCCTCGCACGTGCAACGTGTAAAGTGCTGCTGCAAGACTGGGTAGGAACAAACAAACCGAACGCTTGCGGGTGAATCGACCAATGTGGTTGGGAGGTTCGTATATCTGGTTAGTTGCAGAAGTCCCAGTGGACTGGCGAAAGACGAAGTTACTTTCCGAATTGGGAAGGCCAGGACAGCGTTTGCTAACATCCGACATTTGTGGCGCTGACGCTATATCAATCTGTCAAGGGTGAAGTATGCAATGCCGCGGTCCGATCGGCCTTACTTTACGGATCAGAGACGTAGACGCGGCGTTCTAAGATCTCCAAAAGCTCTCCGTGTTTGAACATCAAAGCATTGCGTGGTCCTAGTGGTGACATCAGGTCAGCAATATTGAGGTACACCCATTGGTTTTCTCGAAAGCTCACTCGCCCTCGATAGGTTAGCCGTTCACGCTCCACAGGTTGCAATGGATAGGCCGTGCACCTTGTATGCCAGAGGACCGTTCACCTCGGAGAGTCCTCTTCTCCCAGCGAAGAGGCAGCGAAGTATGAAAGCCTTCGCCAGTCAGCTCATTCGCGTCGGTAACTGCTGTCTGCGCGGATGGGGACCGCGGGATGGGGCAAAGTAGTAGTCAGCGGCCTTTACAGATACGTTTGTCACTCAGCCGCGGTGTTATATCGAAGTATCACCTTCACTGCGTAGCTCTCACTCCCTCTCATATCAAACAAGCGAAACCCTTTGTCGCCAATCCACAGTTTTGGCCATCGCTTCCGACTTGTGGCTTTTATTTCCCTACTCGCATTATCCTCCGTGAACGAAGCTATATCAGCTGGAAACATTTTATCTCGTTGTACGGTTTGTGAGCGGAAAAACTGAGCGAAACTGTTATCTACATACACATGCATACTTAAGATATAAGCATGCAGCTACCGTGAGGAATATTTCTATGTAGGCCTGTGTAGGCTCACCGGTAGCGATCAGACGGGTTACATTGGCGTCAAGACTGTTGCGAAACGTAGTACTTATTGCCCAGATCGTCACGAACCGTGTAGGCGAATTGAAGGACTATGTGGCCTTCGGATGACAAGTACGCAAGGAGTGCTCGCCAGATTAGATTTCAAGCGGAGAATTATCTGAAGCTCTGAGGCACTGGTTGATAAGGGAGGAAAAAAGGCGGCAGTCCGGCGGTCTCGAAATCTGCCGAATGCAGTAAAATAGCAAAACTGACATTCTCTGAGTTCAGGAAACCGAGCAAGTGGGAGAACGCATGTGACCTTATATAGATTATAAACGAACCAAAAACCATTTAGACGGGCTCAGACCAAGAAATTTGTCAGTAGTACCATGTAGACAAATCTGATGAGGGTTTGGTTAGCAGCCTTAAAGTCTTGAGATAAATGGAAGTTTGTGATAGCGGTATCTGGTTAAAAGACAAAGTAAGACATCCTGACATATTTGGAATAAGACAGTGAAAGACCGAGTAGTTAACTGAACTCACGGAGCTACCTTGAATAATAGGGATGCTCGCGCTCGAATAAGGACAGACATCAGCCACATCGTTTGCATGACTGCCAAATATTACGGGGATTGATAGAAGGAGGTCGTGGCATAGAAACTGAAAAGAGGGTTAAGGTGAATGTTGAACTGCAGTGACGCTTATTGGGGATAGATTGGGCATCCAGGTCTGAATCGTATCCGATTCCAAAAATAGTTCAAAGCCAAGACACCCTCGGTGGCGAAATAAGTATCTCTCTTTCTAGGCTTCTGAGGGCGTCTGTGTGGTGCAGAGGTAGTAACCTTGCTATAATGTCACTACTGTCCAGCTTTGGAGCACTAACAGGCACGACCGGCTACAGCGTAAGACATTGAGTGGGATTGAGAGTAAGTGGATTAAACGGAGATGAGAAATTTGAATAATTTGACAGGACTTATTGATACCACCCTCATGGAATCTGGTGACACAGATAGGTATGCACCCACTCTACGTGCATAACCACCGGTCTAGTCACTCGATCGGATTCACTCCTCTTCCCGCACAAATTGCTTATAATGGCTCCGTTGACAGGAGGAGGATGCTACGCGGTTCTCTTCGAATTATTCAATCTCACCCTAGTGCTGAACTTCGTGTTGAACTTGAGCGGGTCCCTGTGGAAAACCGTCCGCGTCTACGATCCGATGCAATCGATTCGTCAGCCACCAGCTCACCACGCAGTTCCCCTACAACATCGCTGACTATGGATACATCCCTGCTCTCTTGGTTTTCACCTCGCCGCTTCAATTCTGTGGGTAAAGACCAGGCCGCCAAGCTCAAGCGGTTGAATACCCGTAGGATAGAATTTGACATACAGGAATTGAGTCAATCAATCAATAAAGACGCCTCACAATTATCAGCGGAATCACTTATGGTACGTTTCTCTTTTTTAAACTTCATTACGGGGTATGCTGTTCATGGTGTTGGTGAAGCCTCCCTGTACCGTAACCGTTTTATTGCAACAGCTGATATGTGTGACTTCATCACGTGGTCTCAGGTACTGCCAGTGTATGTTCCCTTTCAGTGCATGGCACTGTGGTTTCATGCAGCTGGCTGAGTAATCACCATCATCAGCGTCTTTACGCCTTTGCCTCTTCATGCTTGCTCAATAAGTAAATGTAGTATCCAAAGCGTCCCATTAACATTGACTGGGCTAATGAACGCACGCTCATGGTTGGTAGATGAAGATGGGTTTGTATTTTACAGACAAATGGACTACATTTTACTTTGTGCGGATGTAGATCCGAGGGAAGACCTGTTGTTTAGGTGTGATTAGCTTTTGGAATCATGGCACTCTGTTTACTTGTAGCCCGTATTCAAACTTATTCGTGTGTCTGATCTGCGGGTAAATCGATCCGAGACATTTCTTTCGAAGTTTGGTGGCACTGTTGGGGCGTAAACTGGGTCACGCAGAGGTGAGCTCACTGGCCAAATACCTGGCAATTTTCAACGAGTGCTTTTCCTAAATTAAAGTGGTCTCTACAGCATTTACTCGAAAGTGCAGCATACCACTGCCGATATATCAACGATTCCAACAAGATTACTGGACGACCATTTGACTTATGCGGGCAAAATCGAAATTTCGAACGAACAATGAGGCTTATGAAGCTTTTGAACGTGTCAAATTACGGGTGATATGTTAACGAGTCACTCTCATATTTCCTAGAATCGTGAGATATTCGCTTTCGCAACGGACGCTAGTAATTGCGGCATCGGCGCGGTCCTAATGCAGAGAAATATATCTACTTAACACGTCAGTCATCTCCTGACCAACGCTGAACGAAAGTATTTGACCGGTGGGATGGAGTGTTCAGCTATCGTCTTGTCCTTGGATGAGTAGAGGCCATATATACCTGGACGAGCATTTCATGTCGAATCCGATCACAAACCCTGGAGTGGAGCAGGACCATCAGAGATCCTCGTGTAATGCTCACACGCCGAGCGCTCCGGTTGCGAGAGTACGATTTCACAGTCCAGCACGTACCAGGTAAGGAGAACTACTTTGCTGATTGGCTGTCAAGACCAGTGGCTGAAGATGATGTTTCCAGGATCATGACTCTGGCCAATAGCTCGTCGTCGAACTGGATCCCGGAAGGTTGGCGCAACTCCAATGGCAGGATGCTGTGTTACGCCAGACGGCGACCTACCCACAAGTTGGGAACAAACATTGTTATTATTTTTATTATTAATAGGTTGCAGCCACCTTGTGGTTTGAAAGGGGAATTGATGGCGGAGAGAAAGACAAAGATTTGGAAACGTTTCAGGTTCATTTCGATCAGCCGAAGCTAAATGCAGCTGGCGTATTTTCCTGAAACGCCACCGATTATGGTGTTGTGCTGCCCTTGATACCTCGCGTCTTAAGACGGAGGCTTATCGTCGAATGCCACGAGATGGCACACACAGGGTGCACCACGACAGAAAGCATACTGGCCCGGGATGAAAAGTGAAGCAATGGAATATGTGGCGCCCTGTAAAGGGTGCCAACTGGTGAGCGGGGACACGGCAGGGGCAACGTATCCCATGGAATCTATCCCTGTCTCAGTAACTGGCGAGTTGTGATCCGTTGAGGTCATAGGCCCCCTTCCGGTGACAACCAGCGGGAATCAGTACATCGTGTTAATGACAGAACACCTGTCGCGATGGACTGAAGCGGCAGCCGTGCCTAATCAACTGGCGACGATCATCACCGGAGTGGTAATGCATCACATCGTGGCCAACCATTGCTTGCCAAAAATGATCCTATTCAATCAGGGCATTGTTTTGAGAGCGAAGAGTTCAGGAACTGCTTGCAAAGGTTAGGCATCAAACGGCTAAAGTTGGCGCCATACCACTCATAAACAAATGGTCCAACTAGACTTAATAACCGAACGATCAAGGAGTGACTGGCGGCAAAAGGTGACTGGAATATGAACCTGTCAATAGTGCTACTAGCTCCTCGTGCTTCCATACAGCCAACCACAAGCAAGTCCCCGTTTATGCTGAGGTACCATCGACATCCGCGCCTTCTGGTTGGTCAGGAAGTTGGGTTGGGGTCGGCAACACGTTTGTCTCCGAAGGAGCTAGAGGTAGAGAGAAGGAAAGCTCGAGAAAGTTTAGTCACCGTTCAGGCGACGACCAGGGAGAGAACGGCAAGCAGGAGGGTACGACTGTTTCCTATAGGCGCGAGGGTCAAATGGAAGGACCATCAGAATCCTGTAAGGGGTGGACTGGGATCGCGGAAGCTTTTCAATTGATGAAAAATTGCGTTTGTCCTTGCCGATTGCGCGGAAACGTCTATACAATTGAAGACTGTCGGAGATCGAATAGAGTACATGGGACTCGTATTCTTAAGTGGCTTGATACACCCGAAGATTCGCCAAACAGTCCAGCTGCTGAAGCCGACTTAACGGAGTTAGATGGAAATCGGTGGCACACGAACGATCTTTAAAGGGGGAAGATGTGTAACGGTAGAAAATACTGATGAGGCATGGACTGTGGGTGTGAAACTGAAAGTTCCAGTTTTATGAGCGCCCTGTTTGAATTTAACCTCAAGTGGTTATAGAATCACCATCCGTTGAAAAAAGGGTGTAATCGTCAAGGCGCAGCCCAAACAAACTTGGTAAAGGCTTGGCTGTAAGTGCTCCGGGATGTGGGGACCTGGCTTATCCCTTCAAATGGCTGACTTCAGGTGAGATCAACCACTC